TATACTACCACAAACTCAGCTGCCTTAACATGGTTATTGGTGCACAGTTTCTGGGGGTTTGTAGAGTGAACACAATATACCTGCATCCTTTGCTTTAGGAACCCCCAAAGCTGCCACCAAGGAGGAGACCAGGGCTGTGTTCTCATCTGAAGTGCAACTGCAGAAGAGCTGCCTCCCAAATCCCTGTCACTGGCAGCATGCAATTTCTTGTGTGCTGTTGGACTGAAGCTGTTGGCCAGAAGCTGCCCTCTGTTCCCTGCCACCTGCGCCTTTCCAACCTGACTGTTTGCTTCCTCAAAGCTAGCACAGGAGCATTTTCCTGAAATAGGGGCATTACAATCATGATCTTATGTAACTTAAGCATGGAAGTGATAGCCTGTCATTTTTGCCACAGTCTATTTGTTAGGAGCAAGTCACAGGTTCCCCCAACACTGAATGGGAGGGGATTATACCCGTGTGTGGATTCCAGGAGATGAGGATCATGGGCACCAGGTTAGTGTTAAGTGAAAGGAATGAATGGGGGCTATTATATGATTCTTCTTCTTCATGAGTGTGTTTACTTGATCCTTAGTGAGCTCTTTTAAGGTCAGTATCTCCTCTAATGGGTTAACTTAGCTTTCTCTTAGGATAAAAATTAATACTATGGTGGACACAGTGTACATACAGATTCTGTGGTGCCACAAAAGATTCCATTATTTCAGTATGGCCACTTAGAGACGATCACTTAGAGAGAACTAAGGAAAAACAGTTCTGACAGGGCTGTGATTGGTTCAGCTTAACACAGGTTGCAGTGAGAAGCTATCATGGCCCTAACCATAACAGAATACAATTTATAACACAATGAAACATGATACAGTGGTGAGAATCTAGTCTATATGGGTTTATGAAAAGCATTTCTTTTCATAGAGGCAAGGTTTGTGGGAAAATGGATAATTTAGGGAGAAATATTGCTGGGTCATTAATTAACTTTTAAATACAAAATGAGAATAAGCAGTCATGGGCAAAATTAGAATCTTAATTTTTAATGCATCATGAAATGCATCTGTGGCTGTCGGTGATTTAAAATACTAGAGATACAAGAGAGCCTTAACAGTTCAGAAATGTGTAGCTTGTTATTTGGTAAAGGCAGCCGCATGAGAGGACTAGAGTCACAAGGATCCAACAGCTGGCCCACCGTGTAGGTACCTGATCCATAAATAATAAGAATCCTTGAACAAGCAGAGTTTCCAAGGTAACTAACCTTTAGTTTGCATTTTCGTTTGTGACCAGTAAAGAATAGTTTATTGAGAGATGCATCTCTTAGGACAGTGGCCAGCAAACTCATTAGTCAACAGAGCCAAATATCAACAATAAACAATTGAAATTTTTTTTGAGAGCCAAATTTTTTAAACTTAAACTATATAGGTAGGTACATTGTCATTACCTTAATTAAGGTCTTCCTAAGCTGGCCTTTGTAAAAACTCAAGGGGCCAAAGAGCCGCCTGTGGCTCGAGAGCCACAGTTTGCCTACCACTGTCTTGGGAGAATGTATTACTTGGGGTAGGAGAGCCTGGGGACCAGAGGGGCACTTCTTTCTTAAAATTTCAGAGTGTCAAGAGTTAGGGGTTTACAAAGGCTTTGCTTCTCTGGGTGGATTTGTGAATAAAAACCCATAGACGAACCGAAGAACCTACAAGTGTCTGCCTTCCTTATTGACCTCCCTTGCAGACGGTGACATGTTCATAAAACCAGGGGGAGCTTTTTCCTCCGGATCCCTCTGGAGGAGGAAGACAAAGAAAAGGAGGGCAGGCTGTGGCCAGCCTTCACATGCAGCCAGATATGCAATTGATTACCACTGGTTGACAGTTCTTTGCTCCATGCACTTTTCAGATTCTCCTGAAATAGATTTTTACTTCTAACCACAAGCTGGGTGCCTTTAAAGGTGGCCTGCGACAGGCAAATGTGAGGAAGCTTTTATGCACTGTGATTTATTTTGCTATGGGGAAATGGTAGCTCCCTTTTGTACTTCTTATTAAAAGTCAAAGGTCTCTTATTTCCTTTGCTCTGCCTACCCTTTTCTTGTTTGTTTATGTTTTTGAAAGCTGAAATTAGGGCCGAGGCCTCTAGAATGCCCATCCCTTTTAAATGTCAGTGGATCCACTTGGAAACAGGAGGTGGTTTTCTACTTCTCATTATACCCACAGTGAGAAGCTGCACTCGGAGATTTTGAATCGCATGCTGAGAGTTCTGATATTCTGAGTTTTCTTGACTTACTGCTTCCAAATATGTTCTTAAAATAAATGGCAATTTCCTCTTGGAACAGTTATTGCACTAACACATATGTTAGTAATCTCTGAGCAGTCGGGATGCTTTACATATTGTAACTCTACACATTTGCACGTGCTTCCTACAGTCACATTATTTTAATCTATTATATCCTCAATTTCGTTTTGGCTCTTTTATCTAGAGGTCTCTTAATTAGAAGGTCTTCTCTTCCATGACCTGGACCCTGACCTGAGAGCCAGGGCCCTGGGAGACTGTATGTGACTTCTTAAGAGGGAAACCTAATGTTTCCTCTTGTCTCAAAAGTGGAAAGGATGAAGAGTGATGACTCTTCAGTTCCATTGACTATTCTTTTATTTTTTTAAAGACCATTTTATTGATTTTTAGAGGGGGGGTCGGGGAGAGAAGTCAACATGAGAGCACAGCATTGATCAATTGCCTCCTGCTTTGCCTTAGAGCAGACTCTCTCTGGGTAAGAAGCTAACTGACTTAGCCTCACAAGTAGTACCCTCTGCCTCCCGTTTCTAAAGGGAGATGGGATGGGTGCAGAGAAAGACAGAAACATCATGCATTGTAGTCTTCTCTCTATATTGAGCCTGCAACCTGGGTATGTGCCCCTGACTAGGCAAGCCAGCAACCTTCTGGTGTATAGGAGGATGCCCAGTCAACTTAGCCACAGGGCCCACTGGCTACTCTTTTATATGAACATTTAGAGAACCATTAGTGTGATTGGTTCTGCACTCTGGAGGCTTTTTCTGCCAGGATCTGTCAACTCTCTCTCCTGGGAAGTAAGCATTCCTCCCATTTTCACTTGAGAGGCTGACTTTTGACTCTACCATGTGTTGTTTTGACTGTACATTCACACAGTTGCAGTAACTTATTCCCGCTACACCACATCCCATGTGTATCCCTTCCTCTACTCCTTCCACCACCATCATGTTTGTTGGGCTTGGACTATCTCTCTCTTCACTTGTTGCAATCTCGATTCTCCTGGCTGGAACTTGCTCCATTAGCTCTTCTTGCAGGTGGCCTCACCTCTTCTGTCTTTTGTAGACCAGATCCCACCCTCAAGTGTGGAGCACTCCTCAAACTTGGGGGGCTCCAGGGCTCCAGGGGGATGAGCCACCGAACCCTGTGGACCACTGTCCACTCTATCTCAGATGGTACTATTTGGTCTCTGGAGTTCTGTGTGATTTTCTTAGTTCCTTATAAAGTTAAACTTTCTGCCATCTTTTTCCGTTCTTAGTGACCTCACTTCACTCTTCCCATTTCTATTTTCCATTGTTTTCTAGAATGCCAGTCGATGCTCCCTGTGCCTCACCTCATTGACTCCCTTCAGCTTGGCCTGTTTTTGTTTTGTTTTTATAATCTTTTGTCACTACCTGTTCCCCCAAGCCTTCATATTCTCTGTAGCGTTTTCTTGGTTTGATGATGAAACTGTTGAATCTTCCCAATATTTGCCACCAGGGAATCATGCTCCCTAAGTCACTTTCCCTGGTTTCTGGAAACCAGCTGTCATTTGCTCCTGTTTTCCTCGCATTGAGATAGGGCTGTGTGTCCTGAGCATCCTGGGCTGTATCTATCTCCCGGCATTCATCTCAGGCTGTAAACATCTGTGACAGGAAAGACCTCTCTATAATGGCCTTTGCACAGTGCCCTGCAAGATTAGGTGTTTACTAGTATTAATCATGATGACATTAAAGGTAGTGGACCATCTGCCTCCTGTTTCTAAAGGTGGTGACATAGATGGGGTAGGGGGAAGACAGAAACATCTTGCATCCTAGTTTTCTCTAGAAGCTATATTTGTGCAGAGTGGATGGGCTATTGGTTTAAATAGTCATTTAAATGGCCAGCTGTGTCTCACTGACTTTGGCTGTGTTAAGAGTCCATCTTCCTGCCCATGAGTTGTAACATGTAGAACGCCTGGCTGTTTCTTGGGTTTTGTTTGTCTATTTGTTTCCCTCACATCACTTCATTTCACTTGTACTATCAAAGAATGAGGAGAGATTTGACTCATATACAGCTTAAGAAGCCCTTGCATATTTGGCTAAAAATTGGCAACATGTATGTATATATAGAAGTACAATATATTCAACCATAAAAATAAGACTAGTGTTTGCAAGTAGTAACGCAGTTCTTTTTAGATAGCCAGTCGGGGTTGGACATGATTCTAGGAGTCTGCAGATAAATTAAAAAATGCAGTAACCTAAGCAGTATATGACATGAAGCTTTATGCTAAAATCTGGCTTTAACCTTTCTTTAACTTATTACATTAACAGGACTATGAGCCTTATTGGATTCAGGGATGAGAAATGAAATCCAAATACACTTTTGCTGACTTTGTAGTCATAACCTGCTTTATCTTTCAATGTGTATGTTTAGAAGATAAATGCCCTACCTAGGTATTTTCTGCGTGTTCTCATTTTTTGGGTGTCTATTTGAAGGGTTTTGTTTTGTTTGTTTCTCCTTTAATTGGCTGCACAGGAAGATCCATTCTGCATTGTGAGTTTAGCATTTTCTTCATTGTGTCCCGTGCATCCCATTGTCCGTGCCGCACACAGCATGGCCAGCGCCGCATCCGCCTCCTTCACCGAGCAATCACTTCAGACACAAAAGCCCCTCCACGCCGAGCATGCCCATGTGCCCAACATCTGGTGCAGGGACGGAGCCTGGAAGGCCTGGGGCCTCGCGTTGCACTCTCAAGCACTTTCCTTTTCCTCTCGGTTTCTCCTTGACAGATACTGCAATGAGCACCTGCTGTGCCCCCCACACGTGTTCTGGACGGGCTGGGGTCCGTGGGAGCGGTGCACAGCCCAGTGCGGGGGCGGCATCCAGGCTCGCCGCAGGACTTGCGAGAATGGACCAGACTGCGCCGGCTGCAACGTGGTGAGTAGAGTCCTCCTCATCCCCAGCCCTCAGCCTGGACCTGGGAGAGCAGAGTGAGCCCACACCAGATGTCTTCCTGCCCGAGTTCGCTGAACACGCAAGATACATGGCAAGCATTCAGTGTTCTGCAAAACTAGAGGCTCTATAAACATGTGTGTAAACAGATATTCTGCAAAAACTAGGTTATCTGTACACACTGCGTGCTCTGTGGGTACTAAGGGCTCTGCAAACATGACATGACTAGACAGTGGACACTTGGTACACAATGGATTCCCTGCAGGTGTCGGATGCTCTTACTCACTAGTCTGCAAATGTTAGACTATCTGTTACATAAACATTAAATGTAAACACTGAATGCTCTGTACACATGGCATGTCCAGGCAGTAGGTGCTCTGCACACACTAGTTCCTGTGAATCAGACAGATTTCTCTGGTTAATGAGAATGTTTGCAGGAAATACTGGAAACTCAGCTTTTTGCATTAAATATTCTCATATTTATTAATTTTCAGTTCCCGTTTCTGAGCTATGATAGAAACTCTGGCCTACTTAATTCTGGTCCATATATCTGGTTTAGGGACACGGGATAAGGTCTCTATGAGCCACAGTGAGACATAGAATGCAGGGTAAACCCAAGACATTGAGGACTGAGAGACTTTCAGGGATCATTTCAGAGCACAAAGGCGCCAATTCAGAGAGAATAAAAGACAACTAGCCATTTTGTCTTTCTTCTGCCTTCAAAAGTTTTATTTGTTTTAACACTTTAAACTCTCAAATCAAAGTACCTTCCCCAAGGCACATTGCTGCCTCTCCTGTGCCATTTGTCCGGGTGAGTGGGCCATGAGCTTGCATCTCATTCCCCTTCCCCTGGTGTTGGTCTCTTGCCCAGGCTCCTTGCATGGGTTACTTCTTGAGGTGTCTGCTTTCTCCTTTCCTTCCCGCCTATGGAAGCTGCCTCTCAAATGCCACTTCACCACTGATAATCAAAGGCATGCTCTTTCTTAATTGTTGTGCCTATTGGATTCGATCTCAAATTTTTATGTAATCCATTACCAGGAAAGTTCAACAAAGGACCTTAATCTTCATGAAGGTCACAGTCTGAACTTTTCCCCTGCGCTGTGCTTGTAAAATGCGTGCACTTGTATTTCCAAGTTCTTTTGCGAGGGAACGGATCAGCCTCCCTCACTGAGCCTTGATATTGCACCTTCATTAAATGTGGGAACGCAAAACTTGCTTTCTTTTTGTTATGTCTCAGCGAAGAGCTTGCAGTTATGAAAGATGGTCCGAGTCAAAATGTCACATTTTGTTGAAAGAAGCTGGAGTATTTTGAAAAACTTAATATCAGTTAACAAAATCACGTGGTACAGCAGGTGGCCACAAAAGTGTAAGTTTTTAGAAATTTAGCCCTGAAAATTGGTGATAAAGTTTAAAGAGTGATGCATGATGCAGAAGGGGAGAAGAAAATGATGGATTATAGGAATTAATCCATCAAAAGTCTGTCTCTAGAACATGTAAATTATTTACAATATCGGAAATTGCAACTGATATGGAAGTCTGGAGGATTTCACAGAAATGTTTCATTTATTGAGTTTTAAGACTGATTATAGAGTTTTGCACAGATTTCTGTGGCTCCACAAAATACTCAGGCTTGTTTCTGCCAATAATAATTCAAACACAGTCATTGCAAAGTTAATTGGAAGAAGAAGCTGTCATGAGTAGAGGTTCTCTGCTATAAAAGAGACTTTTCCCTTTACAATTCACCAATAATCTCCCTGATAAAGCTTTTCCTATCCTTGGCACTAAAACACCTAAAGGTACTTAGGTAAACACAGAAACAGTATTCTTCTACTCGATGGCCATGTGTTTTAAAATCTTTTGTATGTCTACATTGATATATGATTTTAAAAATTGATTTAAAAAAAAGGCATAACAAATATCCCGTTGTCATTATCCAAAAGAGGGAACCCCAGGTCTCTGTTTTAAATTATGCCAGATTTTTAACTGCTACAAAATAATTAAATATGCCTTTCTGAATTTAAAGCCTTAGTAGCTGTTCCTCCAAACACAGTCAAAAAATTTTCTGTTTCCAAATGCATCTTCTGTCTTTGATTGTAGCCCCGAAGACACTCTTGGGCTAATCATGGATTATCGATCCATAGAGAACATTCCTTGAGTCATCTAGTCGATTTGATGTTCCTGCTAAATTGGGCACTTATTGTGGTCAATTTCTGTAGCTCTTCTTGTCTGCGTCTAGTTGCACTAGGCACTTGCCACTGTAATTAAAGAGAAGACTCTCTTAATTTTTAAAAAAGCCATCTGTTTATCCAGCCAAATTGGCTTTTACATGATGTGCTAAGATGCTGTCCCTCTCACTGGAAGACAAGTGCTTCCTGTCGGGGGCAAAAGGGGAGTTTGCAGCATCAAGATTGAGCTCTTGCATTGATTTGCATCTTTGGACTCTTCCATCTCCAATCCAATTTTTAAAGATCCTGTGTCAGTGCAGCACCTCACTGCACAGGCTGGAGCTGGGTTTCCAGGAGTCCTTTTCATGCATTATAGCAGCTTGGTCTGTGACTGCTTGAGAGCATCCTGTCACTCAGCCTCCCAATCAGAGACCTGTGGCTGTACACTGATAGTAAGGCTGCTCAGCCAGCTTGCAGAGAAGATAGAGAGAAGCAGGGGTCTGACCCATTTCAGGTTCCATGTAAAAGAGGCCAGCATTGCATCAGTTTTAGAACCCTCTCTAAAATCCAGGTAATATGCAAGCAAACAAAACCTCGCGAGATATCCGTTTAAGAAAGGCTTTGTCATTTACTTAGCTGATTGCGCTTCTTGTGGTGTGGCCTGCCTTCGTTCACTCGGGCTTGCAAAGCCTGCACACACCACGCTCTGAAAAGATGTCTGCCTGAGCTCACACTGACAGAACCAGAATCTGAGCATCTTGATTTTTGACCCATTTGACTCCATCATTGTTTAATAAATATTCAGATTAAGCTTCTAGCCCCTGATGGGCGATGTGAAGGGCAGGGTGACTAAGGGGACCACAGTGCCTGCTTAGACCTTCGGACAGGGTCCTCACTTAAGGAATTTGAACAGAACTATTTGTGTGTCAGTTTGTTCAATGCCTGTTTTTCACAATGTCACAATGTATTTAGTACCAAGCTCCATGAAGCATGGAGGGGCGTGCTATAGAATTAGTTCTCATGTGTGCAGGTGCAGCCAGAGGACTTTCAAAGGAGTTTTGCTCACATTAAACTTGTCTTTTGGTTTGGCTCAGGGCAGGCAGTTCTTCCTTTTGGAGAAATAATCTAAGTGTTTAATTACATCAACAATATGTTTTAATTAGTGTTTTACTGAAGATTTGCATTTCACATTTTATCATCTCATCGGAGTGGAATTTCTGAACATGTATAATTTCAGTCGTTAAAACAGTTCACGCACATAATAATTTTCAAAGCAACTTGTAATTAAGTAAAGGGGAAAGTGACAGATGTTAGAGGGTAGAAAACTGGTTTCAAAACATTAATTATTTTCAAAGATACCATTATTTCTTTCTTCTCAAGTGTTATCTTCTCGGCAATCCTAGATAGAGCCTTCGAAGAACTTAAGCCTACTTCAGACCTCTTCAGTGTGAATCTTAGAATAATAGAAGCTAGTGCTGCATGTAGATATTATAACATTTCTCAATGGAAATGCAAAGCTACATTAAAAGCCGTCTACATTTGTCAGATAAGCATAAAAGCCTAATTATTTTGCTCTGTGGTTGGATGATCTACCCCCAAAGCAGACATTCTTAGAACAGTTTTCTCTTCATTTCACTCCACAGCATGCTTTCTTAAAAAGATCTCTTTGACGTACAGAATCTCAGGAGGTTCTGGTTTGAAAGGAATCATTGCAATAAAGACACTTAAAGCTGGACTTGGCTTCCACCATGTCACATTCTCGCATTACTTTACAAGCCATGCGGCGTGAGAAAGTCACATCGCACACACTCCTCTTTGGCATCCTGCTTATTTCACGATAGGAAACATTTCCCACATCTGTTCTAGTCCATCCTCTCTCGTCCCATGAAACTGCCCAGTTGGAGACGATTACAAAGCAGTCTTCCAAGGAGCTCTAGTGTCACTGTGTGGGAGAAGGAAGGGGCAGGGGCTGAAAGAAGGAAGCTGTGGAATCTGCTTATAAATGGCCCAGGCCTCACGTGGGAAACCAGCAGCACAGGAACCCGTGCCTCGAACAGGGAGTGAAGCACACATAGCGGGGGCAGCCAGATGGAGCCCAGACATCACAGCAGCCCTCTGAGGTTCTCCAGGCAGGCTTCCTTATGAAGTTATTTCATCCATTTCTTCCTCTTATCCTTTCACAACTGCTAGTACCACTGGCAGGCCTGCTACATTTCTCCTTTGAGAATTAATTTGTCTAATATTTGGTGTGATCTCCTATGGTATTGTTAATTTCTATACAGTTTTATATCCGGAAGAAAAGAACATTCTCCATGACCTCGGTTACTGATCTGTCATCCTTTTCTTTGTAGTATTTTCAGATAGTTTCATCTGTGTATTTGGTCCACCAAAAATGTTGAATACCTAGTACAGAACTGTCCTAGGCACTTTGGAAGATACACAGAACCCCTAACCACAAAGATAATAACTTTCTAGCTTAAGAGAAAAAAATACAAATCAAATGACTAGGATATAAGGAAGAAGCTAGCAATGCCAGTGGAGCAATTAAGAGAAAACAGTGAATCCACAGGAAGAGTGGTTATGTGTGGCTGGGTCAAGGACACCCACATGGTGTGGCCAGGATTTGGCCAAGTTGAGGGGAGCTTCTCTGATAAAGGCACATGAGTGAAGGATGTGGATCTAAAGGTGTGGGGTACACACTGGGAGCTCTAAAGCATCACTCGGGTGACTGGAGGATGTGAAGTTATGTGACCAGAGGCAGATTTGGAAAGTCAGTTGCTTCATTTGAAAGGATTTGCAGTACTGGGCTGTGGGATGCAT